GAACGGCAGTCCCGTGTGCCCGCAAGTCACCGTGCTTCTGTCCTGGTGGGCACAGGGGTGGGGAAGCAGGGCCTCGGCTCCCCAGCACCTTCTGCGCTCGGACGGGAGCGTGGAGGAGCTCCTCCGGTCCCGCTTAGGACATCGAGCCCTTTGCCCGCACCGACAGCTCTCCCACAGCATCTGTGGCCAGGTCAAACTTTTACGCACCAGAAAGGCCCCTTTTGCTTCAGAAACGCATCCTATTCTCTCACATTAATTAAGCAAGAAGCAGGAACTACTCAGACCATCTGCACACTTCCAGCTCACCTGAGCGAGTCACCCGGCTGGTGGCTAACGCTGAGAGCTGCACACCGAGAGGCCGAGCCAGCGGCTCCCCGGGAGCTGCACACCGAGAGGCCGAGCCGGCGGCTCCCCGTGTGCCCCAGCAGCACCGCTCAGGCACCAGTCAAATCCCCGTGCTCAGGGCAGCACATCGCAGCAGCTTCGCTGAGCGCCAGATGCTGCATCCGAGCCAAATTTCCCCCGGTTACAACGCACACTTAGAAATTCCCAGGTAGGCGAGCGAGCCAGCCAGCAGCCCTGATGTAATGCCTATAAACCAGCCCTCCCCTGACAGCTGGGCTTTAAAGTGCTAACAACCAAAAGGGAGCTAATTAATTTGTAGCATCACCCCTTTCAAAGAAAACCTCAGATTGACGATTTAACAATTCAGTAGCTCGTTGTTGCCATGAGCAGTCGGATTCAGCTTTGCTCGATTCCAGCCCTGTGCCCAGGTCCCTTCAGGCCCCTCTCAAGGCTCTCACCTCTTCACCTCAAATCCAGGTGTGCAGGAGGAACTACACCAGGCTCAAGGATCCTCCAGGACACAGAGCACTCTGGGACTCAAATCTACCATGACTGTCAGTAGCACCACGGCCAACTGCTTCTGTCCCCATGGTAGGGGACACACAGAACAGGAAGGCACCACAGCAGGGCAGAGCTATGATGGTGTCAGAGCCACGCACTCAGGCAAGAACTCCAGCAGGAAGAGCCAAAAGACTGAATCAGCCCAAACCTGAACAACCACCCTCCAGGTCTGTTCCACTACAGCCTCTTTGCTTCAGGAGCTGGGAAACTACAGGGAAGAGAAGGAAAACAGCACTCTGTTCTTTGACCTTGCCATTGTTTGTGGGCAGAGGCAGCACTGCACCTTCACAAGACAGCCAGGACCTGGT